GAAAAGGCTATTGCATGCAAAAACGGTAAGTTTAACGTTGACTAAAATTTTATTTTGCCAGGTAGAAAGTCATAAAATTGACTTTACTGGTCGAAGTAAAGATATCGTGAGATAATTTTCATCAACATAGTATTCGAGCAAAATATGGTACTCAAAAACACCTTGTCAACGATATGGGACACAAATAAAAAGTTATGAAAAAAAATTGGGTGATGAAAAATTCTCATAAAGTAGGCTTTCAAATAGAGATGGGCACGGGACTGATTATTTAATCCCGATCCCACCCATTCCGAAATGCGATTTTTAAGTCCCTCCCGAACCCGCCCATCCCGACGTTTTTCAGAATTTTACCGCGTGTCCCGTGGGTCCCGATATCTACTTATCTCTAAAGCAGGCTTCAAACTGACAACAAATTGAAACGGTCGGTTGAGATTTCAACGTGTGTAGGTGGCGTGGTTTACAAACCGATCGGAGGTTGACAAAAATGTTTATGACTTTCAAATTAATTTTAAATAAGAAAAATAATAATGAAAGATCTGGCATCTTCCGATTATTTTGTTTTGCTTTGCTATTCGTTTTCATCTCAATAAAACATTAAAATTGCATATTTCAAACATCGTTTTTAAGGAAGCTTTTGTGAATTTGCGGGGGTTGCGGTTTTATCGGGAGTGTCGGGAAAGGATTTTGGTCCCGTACCAAAAAAAAAATTTTTACAGACCTTCCCTTCCTGGCCAATTTTAAATCAGTAGCGTGAGTCCCGCGGGTCCCGCTATCCCGCGCCCATCTCTACTTTCAAACCGGTTGGACAATTAAAAACATTAGGTAACCCACCCTAATCTACATATACATATGTATTATGTAGGTTGGGCAGTGGCGGATTTAAATATTTGCCGCCCCTAGGCAATTCATAACTTGCCGCCCTTTTTTCACGAAAAAAAAAAATATATATATATATATCAAATATGATTGTTATTGTCAGTGCTTTATTACAATATAGTTCGTTAATAATGAAATACATAACGGAATTAACAAATTCGACATCAGCATGGATAAGGTATTCAACAAAAACCCTCTTTCAAACACTTCTTTTTCACAGTTCTTTACGTCTTGATTTTTCAGCTGCGAATTCGCGGATAATATCTTCACAATCGATAGATAGAAACAAATCTGACTCTATAGTCAGCAACGCAAGAGCATTCAGTTTGTTTTCGCTCAATGAAGATCTGAGATAGTTTTTCACGCGTTTTAAAACAGAAAACGATCTTTCTAATTTAGCTGTCTTAAATTTTGCCGCCCCTTAATTCTGCCGCCCTAGGCTTCAGCCTATGTTGCCTGTACGATAAATCCGCCACTGAGGTTGGGAGACAATTGGGTGAAAGTAAAATTTAAATTTTTCGTTAGAGCTGTTGCTAGAAATTGCAAAAGCATGTATGTACAGTGGCTGGCTAATTATTCAAATCGGTACTCGTAGTTAAATTTCTATATTTTGCAGCCAAAAGTTACCACTACTACTATGTAAAGAAGATTTTCCCTATTAAACATTGAAAGATATTTGTTTTAATAAAAAGAATACTCTCGTAAAAACAATAAGAAATCTCTAAAGAAATTTTTTCGTTTTAATCATAGATAAGCATCCCATAATTTTTTACTGAAAAAACGAAAAGCCCACCACGTCCAACAATTTCGCGGGATATAGGATTGAAAAACACAATAAAGGGATATCCAAGTTGGAAAAATTTTCAGATGTTAATAGATTTTATTCGTTCAAGGAACTTAAACTCGTATGATAAACTACATATCCTAAACTAATCAAATTAACTTTCAACACGATCACTCCAGCATCACCATCTTCAGATTTGGTATAATTTTTGGTGAAAATTTTTGTTCTTTGCAGCAATTTGGCGAAGCATGTAGTTATGGACTTGTTATTAAAATGTCGTATAACCCGTCCAACGAATATTTCCTCCCATTTCGGTGCATTCTCAAGGATTGCCCATTCAAATATCTTAAGTTGCTTTAACGGCTTAAATGGCATAAAAAGAAATTTCTAAACAACTCCTTACAGGTGGGAGAAATCAACTCACATTCACAGTCAGACTCGATGAGTTATTGTTTTCGTTCAGCTGTCATTAGGGATATTCGCAGTGATCGGACTTTAAAAAAATTCTGTGTGGTAGAACCTGGAAAAAAATGTAGTAGATTTCAAAAAATTGTGGTACTAAATCTCTGGGTTTGGATCAAACTTTGTATAAAAATTTAAAAAAATCTGCAAGCTTTCACCTAAATGGCAAACTTTAAAAAAAATTTAATTTTAGTATTATAAAGCGCACGATTGAAGTTGCTAAAAATTTGCTTGTTTCACTTGATTTCCTTTTTATAACCTGAAAACAATATATAGCGAACTTTTGAAAAAGTTTAAACTATTTATTTTTGTTAATTTTGAGTCAATACGTCTATTTCCAGGGTTATAAAGTTTCCTTCAGTGCAATGTTTGACAGATAATTGAGTCCACAGTTCACTTGTTCGTATGAAAAAAAAAAATTAATCAAATAACACAAGGTGTTGCGGCTTGCAATAAATATTAACCAAATATTTTACACACAAACTCACATACATATATGTACACTTATACATATATACGGTAAATTTATATTAATAAGTAAATACTTAGTAAATCACCATCACAGTCATATATTTCAATTCGAATAGTCGATTACACAAGGCAACGCTGATTTTGGTACGACAAATGTTAGAACTCTTTTTGATAGAACTTTTTGTGCTGATTGCGAATCCGTAAGTATAAAGTTTCCATCAGCTCCAAATTTTAAGAAAAACGAGGGCAAAGTATCAAAAAATTATGTTTTTTTTTCAGTATTTGAGAAGCTTTAGCAAAAAAACAAAAGGTGGTAGAACCTTCCACTTAGGCTAAATTAAAGCTAGAACCCCCAACTAGTATCCCTGATAACATCTACCTTGATCAGATGGCCACTTATATTTAGTTATGATGAGGAGATGTGGTGATCTCCGAAATAGCTGCTATAACTTCTACCGCTTAGACTTGTTGTCTTTTCCAATATTTCAATATTTTCTTTTATTGTTCAATAAATTACTATAAGTGAACATCAGGTCAAGGTGCAGGGATGGTATTTTTCGGAATAGTGGTCGAGAGTTCTAGCTTTAAATTAAGCATAAGTAGAAGGTCCTATCACCTCTTTCTTTGCTAGGGCTTCTTAAATATTGCATAAAACGCGATTTCTTTTTACACGGTGTTCCCTTTTATCTCAAAATATGGAGCTGATAGAAACTTAATTCTTACGCATTCGTAATCAGCAGAAAAAAGTCTACCAAAACATATCATATGTACAAGTCAACTTTAGACTGAAATATCTGTAAATCATTGCACTGAAGGAAAGTTTATATTTTACCTTAAACGGAATTTCTCCGAGCAACAAAATTGTATATGTAGGTATTCACTGGGAATGATCCTGGGATCCCGGCCATTTTAAGGCCCCAAAAATCCCGGGATACTTGGCAAATAATCCCGGGATTTTCGGGATTTATAATTTGCACTGATGGCAATAATAGAAACTCCTTTTCTTGACCAGTATTGGCTATATTTATTTTTTTATTTAATAATTAATATTTTTATATAAATGTCTAGCTCAATAACAAAGTCCTTTAAAATAAATCCTGATGTCAGAGAGAACAAATAAAATCGCCACTTTAAATATTATTTATTTATTATTTATGTTATGGTAGGAGAGCTTCTCAAACAACGAAGCAATTTTTTCGATTTAAGTTGTTGAATATATATACTGAATATCCAAATCCCGGGATCGTGATAACGACATCCCGGGATCGGAAAAAGCCGAAAAATTAACATCCCTAGTATTCACCAAGTGTAGCAAATTGCCTGGCACTCTCGGAAAGGACAGATCAGCTCAAGCAACGACAGTGCCAAACTACTTGCTCAATTTGGTGAATAGCCCTTATGTTTTAACCAATGTTTATGTCCCTTTGCAAAGGAGGGAGGCTAATGGAAAAGGCGTTGAAATGCCTATGAAAATATGAGAAAATTTCCTGATAAGTTATTTGGCTAAGTTCTAAATTTACCTAAAATGGTGTGCTGTGATGAAATTCATCATCAAAACCTTACCATACGTTTACGTACAGCTAAAACTCTATTTAGCTCGCCAAATAGAGCATAGAGTTGTCGTAGACTTTTTGATCTTCTTGCGAGGCAGTGTGTCCACGGCAAAAAAGTCTTGTTAAATAACTGTCTCTAGCGAAATTTTTGTTTAAGTCTCGCGTTTTTTCTCTACCATGTACACTTAGCTTAATACTTTGAATTGCTACAACATGTTGCTGCAACACCGGGAACAACTTTAAAAACTTGTCAATGTGTTGATATGTTCATATTACAGTATATTTTGCTTAGCTGCACATCCTTATTTGCACGAAAAACTTGTGCACGTAACCGAAAAAGGCACTTAAGCGAATTTTCTTTACTACTTCAATGAGGAAGGTATCCAAATCCCTATGAAACCAAATAATGGAGAAGCACTTACCACGTAGAAATTACTGCAAGCGAAATTTTTACCGAATAGTATCTAATTATCTATATAACTACATAAATTGATAGCCATTTTCGTTGTTCTGCGAGATGAGCAAAATAAATAAAAGCTTGTAAAATTAGGTAATTGTAGGGCCAGTGCAGGTAAACGTAATACTTTCTTTGATAATTGATACTAGTCGCACAATTTTTAAGAAAGGTATCGCCAATGTGCAGGTATGTTGAATGCATCTATCGGAGCAGTTTCCTTATAAATGTTAAAAATAATGCCGCTGATGCAAATTTTAGGGTAGGTAACTTAAATGTGCACTTAAGCATAAAGGCAGCAAAGCAAAATATACTGTATTTCGCTTAAAATAAAATTAATAGAATTAAAGAAAATATATTTTGATGCTCATTAATTATTTGTAATTGTTTGTACTTGCAGTCCTTGTGATCGTAATTTAAGAGATGCTGAACTGATTTCCTGTCGTTTGAGACGTGTGGAGCCATTATGTCGTTTGCCCGGTTCGGCATTACAGCAGTTGGCCATGTGCGGCTTTTATGAAGATTTGGAGAAAGGTGTGACATGTAAGTTGAAATACAAGTATTTGTATCGCTAAGTATAGATTTTTACATATGTACATACAAACATACATACATAAATATATGTATGAGAAAACAAGGCTCGTTAAGAGGGTAAATTTTAAAGTCTTAACTTTGAAGTACTTTTTCTTGTAGTAGTTCGAACAGAAAATCGAGTTTTGGAGTTCTTCTGAATAATGAATCCTAGAAAAAATCAATAGATTCTAGTTTAAGTGAAAAATGGTGTTCTCATTTCTATCGGCTTTCATATAAGTTCAAATTAAAACAAGTAAAGAAGATTAAGTTCGGGCGACACTGAGTTTTATATACCCGGCGCAGTTATCATATATCGTCCATTCAACTTTCTCTACGCTACCTTTGCATGATAAGCCGATTTCAAACATTTTCCGTAAGCTGCTAAGTTAGACCTAATGAAATAATTGAACCAAGTTTGGTAGAAATCGATAAAGCGGTTACCGAGATACGCCTTTGTAGTCATAAAGTTTTATTTATTATTAAGAGGTTGTTGTAACTATTAAGCCCAAAATACAATAACGCAGTGTCAGCTGGCAGTTTTTCGAAATCAGCTGTTTTTTTAGAATGTGTGTTGTTCAATGAAGCGACTCACAATACAGCAGTGGCAGCTGGCAGTATTGCTCAGTTTAGCCCAAATTCTAAATTCACTGCCACTGCCTCCATCGCAGCAAACTTCGCATGTTGAATTTGACATAAATGAAATGCAGCCAACTTCCAATATTAGCAATAACAGCTGATTTTAGAAACTGTCACTGCCACTGCCACTGAGTTATTGTATTTTGGGCTTTAACCTGGAGTAAATTAGAGTCCTGAGTTATTGAAATATGGGAGTTTTCGTATTTCTTAAATTTACCATTATACGGGAAGCGGTTGTGATTTTAGTTCGATTTGAATAATTTTCAACGAATTGCCTATGGAAAATACCAATATGAAAATACCAAGGTTATTTAGTGCACCGAGTTTTGTAGAAAAATGGTAAATGGGTCTTGTGGTCCTACATAAGTGGGCGGCGCCACTCCCATTATCGAAAAATTTATAATGATATAATTTTCGACTAAGTGGTTATTGCAATCATCGATTTTAAGTGAATTCGCTTTAGTAGTTACTGATTTATCGCAGTTTTCGTGTTTCTGTAAATTACCGTTAAATTGGAGGTGGCCGTGATTATTGCCCGATTTCAAAGATTTTCAACGGATTTCTTAGCAGGGCCCTAAGCAAAGCTCGTACCTATTTTGGTATGGATTGGTGAAGCTTACACTTATGGCGTTTTCGTTTCTACAAAAACTGTTGCCTTCTCATTGCCCTTTTCTTAGTATTTGTTCGTAGAGGGCAAAGAGAATGTAACCTTTTTTGGTAGAAACGAAAACGCCATTACATTGCTTTCGTGAAACTGGCTATTAATTACGCATTGTAAAATTATATTTCATTAGTCATTACAAAATCAGTATTGCCAGAAAAATGTTGTAGAAAATCAGTCACGTGATGGTAAAATATTAAAAAAATAATAATAATACAAAATTAATAGGATACAGGGAAAAAGGGTAGGAACTCTTTGGACATTCAACTCTCAGTTAAAATAAATAGTTGGTAGATTTTAAAAGTCACCCATGGTTGATACATAATTTTAGGTCAATTCGAGATAGGAAGAAAACAATCTTCTTCTGAAAACTGTACTTTATTAAATACTGTAACTAATTTATTTATATAGTAAGTAGATTAAGTGTCATCCATCTATCAGTTTTTAGACATTTTTGCCATTTAGTCGAAATATTTTGTCTTGAAAAGCAAGTTGAAATTACTTTTTATTTGCAGTATTTCGAGCTGGCGAGCAAGGTCGCTTTTGGTATGCCGTTCTAGGAGGCTCACTTGAAGTTCGCTATCACGCTCCAGATACTGACGGAAAGGTAAGCAACTTTATTAAAATGTCACACAATACATGCAGAAATGGGTCATTCCATGTAAAAGAGAAAAACGACATAATTTAAAATGCGCCAATTATCACTATTTCAGCAGTAACCTCCCTGCAAGAACAGTGACTATCATTTGACAAATCATTTGAGTGGCAAGACTGATAGAGATTTCTGTCACTGGCTACCTACAAGTTTCTATCAAATTCTAAAGGGCAGTGTGAAAAATCTGATGTAAACATTTGTGTTCCGTCTTCCTCCGACTTATGGCATTATTTAGTCGTCTCTTTTTAACCAACGCCAAATTTGTATATGTGTTAGTAAGGTAAATGAGAATGTGTTAGTTTCCATCACACAATTCTTGTAGAGCTCTTTTTAAATGACTTCTTCTTCTCTTCTTTATTGGGCTACACGACGAATGGTGGTTGTGGCCAGATTAGATCTATTTTTTTTTGTTTTTCCAGCGACAGATAAGGTTCCTCCTCTTCTTTTATTGCCCATAAATCTTGCATAGACTTTCTCTCGAAAACTCCAGGAGCCGCTTGATCAGGTGTTTTCATTATCCATTCCTCCACGCCATACACCAGCACGGGCATGATGAGTGACTTATAGAGCGTGATTTTTGTACGACGAGAGAGGACTTTACTTCTCAATTGCCTACTTAGTCCAAAGTAGCACTTGTTGGCAAGAGTGATTCTCCTTTAGACTTCAAGGCTGACATTATTATTGCTCATAGTGCTGGTTTCCAAAGTTCCCAAATAACTTTTATTTTTTTTTTCTCTCGTTGGTTTTTATTGATTACGAAAAAGCCTCTGTGAAGTGCAGAACCAAATCAAACGACGAAGAAAACTGATTCAAGTTGAACATTTGCAGACACATTTATAAAGCGGCTGTAGCTGAGTGTGCAGAGGTGCTTGCTGTTATTTGCTAACATTCCAAAGATGCCGTTTCAAATATCGTCAGAGGCAACTTGTTAAAATGATAATAAATATTATTTTTTAATATCTTCGAATTATACAAAAGCATCTATGAAGTGCAGAACATAAGCGTGTGCAAGCAAAAAAATCGCCAAACAAAAGTTTTGTTAATGGAAACTAAATTGTGGTTAATATTACCAAATCATTGTTGAAAACATCAACCAAGGCATTGTTAATATTAACAAAAAATCACATTGATTGATTTGAGTTTGGTAATATTATCCAATTTTTGGTTGATTTTTTGCTCAGTGTGTGATGACAGGAGATACTTCGTTTTATCCTCGTTCACCTCATTCGTTCGTCTTTTCCAAGATTTGGCGTATTGCAAATACCTGATCTAAATATGATTATATGAATAGATTTTCCAAGTCGCACTGATAAGGCCCAATCCGTTCGTTGACGGTGGGCTTCAGTCTTCCACACAATACACTCGATAAGACCCTGGTAACCTATGCTTAGAAGGCTGATCCCGCGGTATTTGGCGCGTATGGCGGGATCGCCTTTTATGTGAATTGGTCAGAGCACATTTCCAAATTCCAATCGTCGGGCATGCGTTCTAAATACTTGTCTTCCAATTCCGTGCATTTGAAGTCTAAATCATTTTTAAGGTCCAAAACGTATTTAAATGTGTCGACGTCTAAATGTATTTTCTTTTCTGTCCATTTTGTTAACTCATAAAAATCCCTAAAAATCTACATTCTCTATTTTTCATAAATACTAAATATTAGAAGTTAGAACTCCATTTCGACTGCACTAAGAGGCAAATTAAATAAAAGTAATCATAAAACTCGCAATATATTCTATTACTTTTTTTGTTAAAGTACTAATATACATACTTAGCGTTTGGGGTTGTCTAAATAATCAACTAATAAAACACAGGTATTTAGGAGTTGTTATATACTAGAGTAGCAGGCGCTAAATACTCTGGTATTTTAGACATGCGAAATACTTCCAATAAAGAATTACATGATGTACTTAGTGGATGGCCAAATACTAATAAATACCTTGCATTACATGAGTGATAAATAATATAATGTATTTCTTATGCGTTCTCGATAATATTACTGCTAACTATGTATATAATCAGCGTTCTAATGTATTCAAAAATTTCATATTAAAAAACATTCATTTCTCGATACTATGTATTTATGTATTTATGTATTTTTTTTTTTTTTTTTTCGCCCTGGGGGGAAAAATGCATTTTCGAATGGGAAAAGGTTTGTTTTACTGATTATTTTTTCGATTACTATTAGGGCTGTGCGATTATTCGATTACTCGATCAAGTTGGTTAATCAGTTATTCGGTTAATCAATTACTCGAGTAATCAAAATTGTGATTACCCAAAACGATGATTAATCGAGTTACTTGAAATATAATTACTCAAAAAAATTAATTTTGCTCGTTAAAAGAGTTTGCTTTGGAAAATGCTTATTTTCTTTTTTACACTCTGTATTAAAAAAAAAATTTGTTTTAATTTTTGAAAGCAGAAACGTTGTTTTCAAAGTATCAAGGAACTTCAACTACTTTATATGTAAAGAGTACTTTGAAATGCTGATTACTCATTTTACTCATAACGTTGATTAATCATAAAGCAAATTTCTCAAATTTTTTTGTTTTTGGTTAATCAAAATCTTGATTACTCGAGTAACTGAACTTCTGAGTAGTCATAATTTCCAATTAATCGAATAATTAGGTTATTTACTTTATGATTAATTAAAATTATGAACAATCAATTAATCGCACAGCCCTAATTACTATACATTACATTTGTCCACTGGGTTACTATACCTTACTCGTCTCAGGTCTCCTCACTTCAACTCATTTCACTTTAAATCACTCACATCTACTGACCTTACCTCAACTCAACTCACTTGAACTCACCTCAGCTCAGCTAATTTTATATCCGAAACTCACGAAATAGTCCCGAGGATCCCGAAAATCCCAAAATTCCTGATATAGGCCCAAATGCCCCGAAATAATCCGGAGAAGTTCGACAATCCTGAAATAATCACGAAAATCACGAACTAGCCCCGAAAATTCCGAAGTAGTCCCAAAGATCCGAAAATTCCGAAGTAGTCCAACGACCCGAAATAGTACCGAATATCTTAAAATTCTTTATTAATACGCTTTTCTTACTAAGTATCAAGTATTTAGTATTTAGTCAAGTCATAAGTAGCACTTATTAAGTACTTAGCACTTTTGTTTCCAGTATGTAGTGAAGCCAAACTCTCTAAGTACTTTTGTAAGTGGAGTTTCCTTAGGTAAATCAAACTAAATACTTGTATACATGATAAAAATATAGTAAGGTAGAACCGCTGAGAGTCACTTTTAAAATTCTTGACGTTTCCAAACAAGTTAATTTTTAAATTTACTCACAAACTCACACACACATTTTCATTTTCAATCTCAAGCAACAACAATTTCGAACAATTTCAATTTTTTGTTTTCACTTTTATATGATTTTAAAATGTTGGCAAACTTCAAAAAAAAAATCATGGCCGACAAATTGAGAGAACGGTTATACCTTGCTATGTTTTTATCATGCTTGTATACTTTGTTGCGAGTGCTGTGAAAATACTTAAAACTTAGTATTCAATAAATATAATTTTGGCTTACAATGTTTCATAAAATATTTTTTTTTGTACCATAATAAATATTACTAACTGATCTTTTCAACAAAAACTTTTACATAAATGACTTCGGCTGATTTTTATTTTCGTTCGCTATTAGATTTCTCACAGTAATTAACCGTAACATCTCTCACATAAATCGTTGTCTCAGTGATATATCACAAAAAGTAAAATGTAATAGCTTACTGATAGAAAAAGTTACAACGTGTTTAATGTGGACCAGTTATTTTCGGTCTCTATTTCTAATGTATTTTATGTCCTCTTCATACGTACCAATTTTTGTTGTACTAAAAAAGAACACAATCTTAATTTACTAATGTAACTCCTTGGTTCATAAATTAATTCAAATTCAAATAGACGACCATGCATTACCGATTGTTAGGCAATTCGCTAGCGCCAGGTATGAAATACCAGCCCTAATGTACATACATACATATATATGTACAAACTTAATATGCACCTTTCACGTTCCTATCGGGGATCTTTTGCAACCTAGTTGCATGCAATTATTGTCAACAATATCCGCTTACAAGGCATTAACATGCCTCCTAATTAACTAACGTTTATTTTAAATTAGTTGGAACAAATTCTCCGTGAGTGTTAACGTTTGTTGTCAAATTTAACATTTGTATGTACACACATACATAATTACACATGTATACATGAGACTATATAATATGTAATGTATGCACATTAGGGTGGTCCAAAGTTTTTCCCAATAAGCCCCCGGAACTGAAGAATATCGAAAGTGAAGAGAACTGTATGTTTATTTTGAAATCGGCAGATATTTAATCGTGCCACCAGGGCTTTGAAGTTTTCCACATACATATGTACATATATTGTTGGTGCGCAATAAGTCTGTGCAGACTTAACTATTTAGTCTCTTATATTTGTACCATAAAATGCAACCTTGCGGATGTATGTTTCTCAGTCGCTGACATGAGCGCTCTTTCTGTCAAATTGTTCGCACTAAAGGCCTGTATGCAGCTCTCAAGAAAACGGTCAAGAAAAATTTGCCATTATTTCGTGTGTGTGTCCAAGGAATTTTGACATTTTTGATACTTCACAGCCTGTTGCCTCACTCTTTCCTCAAGAAATAATGGAACGGGCATATATTTCTGTTGCAAACCTGGGTTGCCTTGTGCTCTTTTTTCACAAAAAACTTTAGAAAACCGTAGTAGAAATCGTAGTAAATTTCTTAAGAGCTGCGTACTGCCTTAAGGAAATTTGACTCAAGAAAATGTCTTAGCCATTTCTTGTACGTCATTTTATATGGAGTTTTTGCTTTTCTTGAGAGCTGCATACAGGCCTTAAAAGCGGAAGTACACAACGTCTATTGCCTCACCGACACCGTTGCCGTCATCGTCAGTTGTCAAAAAAGTTGAACTGG